TGATACACTCAGCTTGTTGAATGATTATGGAACTTGGTTTGCCGTCTTGTTTATAATTAAATGTCGAAAAGAAGCTAGGCCAATTAAAGTCCGAGTCAATACGTTCAACATAGTTGCATTTATACTAATTGCAAAAATGACATATTTGTTACATAAAACAATTACTACAATATATGTTTATTAATAACTTGGTTAAATTAGACTATAATATTTTATAAATAGCCCTTGCTTATAATACCATAAAAATTATTATAAATAACAAAATATAATTACCTTGTAATTTACTTTATAACAATCGTATTGACCACATTTTGCAGCAATAATATTTAGTATCTTGTTTAGTTATAAAAGTATCTTGGCACACAGTATCTGCAGTTACCTTGTCATAGCACGTTCCATGATCACCCATGCTGTTCCCTATACTACCAGCCTCACTGAACCAAGGTGAGCTAGTTACATTACCTTGATGATTACAATGAACTGGTATTAGAGACCATGGGTTGAACATAAATATTAAAACCAGAGTACAATTTGTAAATTTCATGTTTGTATAAATCACAAAATGCAACTGCTCGTTGTCAGTGTTAATTAAATATGGTACTTTTTGGTGCGTTTTACTTGTAATGGGTCTATAAATTACCTAATATAATTTTATGGCCATTTACAGTAGCCATGCCTAATATAATAAATTGTTGAAGTTTATTTTAATAAAGATTTTGTGAACAAATTCATGATAACTTATTATGTTTATTGTCAACATAATAATAAAAATCACATACCTTGTTGTAAATTAATATAACTTACTAATTTATCAAAATATTAATAAATTTTAGTGTAATGCTTTAATTTATAAATTTATATTGAATTCATAATAAATATACTTAAATTTATAAGTAATTATATATTATTAAGACATACTTTTAATTATGTTAATAAATTATTTATAAAATATTAAAATAAATACTAACTTATTAAGCTTAATAAAAATTAAGTGTAGCGCATGTTTGACACCATAATAAAATGTCATTATTGTGTTAATTAGTACTACGATATATTTAATAAAGTATTACAGTTTTAATTAAATTTAAAAAACACTTGATTAAAATTCAAATATTATAATAATACACGTAATATAAATTAATTAAATAAAATAAAACTATAAACAAAACATAATTATAAATAAATTAAAATAAAATAAATATATAATTTTATATTATTTTAGTAAAATTATTAATATGGACAGGAAAAAATGCGTTTTTAATGCTTTTGCACCAAAAAAATTATTTATAACTCATTATTACAAATATTAAAGATGTGTTCAAAGCAATTAATCAAACATTACTTGTATATAAAGTTAAGTTTTTCAGTGACTAACGCATCAAAAACGCATTTTTTCCTGTCTATAATTATTAAGTAATAAAAACATATAACCATAATAATTGTGACTAATTAATCGTATTGTATTATTTATTTAAAATAAAAAATTTATTTTAGACCACGATAATAAATATAATTTAATTTTATTTAAATATAATATTAAATTTTGATAATCATTATGTGCAGTACAATAAATGCGTAAAATAATTTTTCAAAATAATTTTGTTTCTATTTAAAATAGTATTTTTAAAATAAAAAGTATAAATATAAAATTGTAAACAAAATTATGAATGCACAATTAATCTAAATTATAAACAATAGATTAAATCTAGTTATATAAATAATAAGTAAATAGTGATAACATGGTCATTATAATGACAGTGGTGCTGGCAATTTTATTTGCACTAGAGCAATGAGGATGGTCGTATTTAACACGATCGCATTCAGTAGTTGTGATAGTAAACGATTTTTTAGGGACAGAAGTCGTATCGTAGATGAAGGTTGTGGACGGAAAATCGTCCCAGTGGAAATCTGAATCAACTATCTCAACCCAGTTGCATTTACTCTATACAAAAAATAAAATCAACCATATTATTAATAAAAAATTTAAATAATAAAATTTAATAACAATCATACTACTACTAATAATTAGCATTTGACTAACAAGTAAGGTGATTTAAATAAATTACCTTGTAGTTTTTCTTAAAACAATCGTACGCTTTCCACATTTTGCAGCAGTAATACTCTGCGTCCTGTTTAAGATCGAACGTATCGGTACAAACACCATCAGTTTTTATCTTAAGAAAACAGGTAGATGCATCATCATCATCATTTAAATTATGTGATTCCAACGTGTTAACCATGATTTTTGTTCCATTTGAACTAGTTGAAAGCCCGTAAGTGTGAAGCGCACACATAAAAAATATAATTGCCCCGATGTAATTCCTCATGATCATTATTATGGCACAGAATCACCAATAACACTTTAATATAATTATCCACACAAATTAATATTCTAATATAGTTAAAATAAAAAATTGGGTGTTGTCACAAAATAAAATTCTAATACAGCACTTATGTTGTTTAAATTATGCAGGTAAATCTTTTTTACTAAAATGAAATACGTGAATATTTTTGTGCTAGTTTATATAGCTCTAGATAATCTATATATTTTGTCAAGTGAGTTGACATTGGCACCAGTTTAATAAGCTGGCATAAGAATACCTAATAAATTATCACATTGGCATTTCAGTTTCAAGATAATCAACATACCAGTTAACCAATCAGGCAACATTTGTATCGTTTATGAAATAGTTGTCTATTTTATATCCGTTTATTATAACCACTTGATATTTACACGTAATCCCGTTAATTGTAATTATATTTAAACTTAATTAGATATTATAATTATTATTTTATTCTTAGATATAATTTACAAAATGTTACATAAAATAATTTTCTTTAAATTTTTGAAATTAAAAATTGTTAATTAATAAATTGTTTTAATTACATTTAATAATCATACTGTATATACTTTATATTGTGATTAATTATTTAGCAAATCATATTTACTGATAAGATTCACGTAGGTCTTTCAAATAATTCAAATATACTTTGACAGATATATCAATGCAAAGGAAATATATATTCATATAGGATTAACCTTATCAATTTTGCATTGATTTTATTTAACATAAAAAACTATACATTTCTACTTTACTATAAATTATTATAAAATTATCATAACCATAATAATAACTAGATTGCAGTCTCTTTATAATACTTCATTAATTCAATTTATTATTTGTTAGGTTATCATTTAAAATAAAATAATAATTAATTTTTTTGTAAATTCAATAATAAAATATGAAAATCATAATTTTATTTATTATAACACTAATACTAAAAATTATATGATATGTTTGCTTAAGGTAAAGCTAATTTACTGATAAATTGATCATATTTATTTGCCATATTTCATTATTTACACAACACAAAAGATTTTATTTGAGTAAATAAAGTTACATTATAGAATAAATATTTGAATAACATTGGCATAATAAGAGTTACATTTATATTATTTAAATATAGTAATACTAATAAAGTTAACATTTTATTTTAAACTATTTAATTCACATATATTTAAGTGTAAAAATTAATACTAAATTAAATTATCTATATTATTTACTGTTATATATTTTTCTATTTATTTAATATTACAACATAAGTACATAAATCAAAACGTATATCAGGGCCCCAAAAAAGTCATGAGTATTTTCTTATATAAAATGTTAATTTATTTTATTCTTAAGATAATTAACTATAATCAATGATATATTCTCAATCATTATCGACAACTGTCTCCCATTGTGTCACCAATTTTTCAATTTCCTAATGGAAGATTAAACTTGATTTTAAGACCAAAATCTGAAGACACCCTCGATTTGATGATATCTGCCATTTTTAACACCATTTCTCTCACAGACATTAGAAATGATGGGTATCTGTGGTAATCAGTAGGGGGTATATCAGGGTTGATGGCAGTGTGGATAGAGTTTTTATACCTCTTGTTATTAAACTTTAATTGGGGTTATATTTTTAAACTTAATTTTTTCGGGATTTTCTTTAGCATTCAAATACTGTAAAACACCGTTAATTTAATCGCTAGACGTTCGTAAGAATCTCTAAGTGATCCTCAATAGTCTATTCCCTGCATCCCTACCCTATGAACATATCATCAGCCAATATGTTTGACATCGGAGTCCCGAACCAGTTTAAACACTACCGATAAGTGAACAAACATTGGGTGACCACTACGGCTACAATCAAGGACGCGGGACATTTTTAGCTATAGTGGTCATTCATGCACACTCATACAATTTACATTATAAATGTGTTTAATTTTTCTAGTGCACAATCGCGTCAAATAAGCTCTTTATAAATTTGTATAAAACAAATGTCTAATGTGTATATTGTTCGGGGAATTGCTGGCCATCGATGACAATAATTATTTTTAATATTTATATCACAAAATAATCTCAATATATTGTAGCTTTGTATAACAAAAAGCTTTGTCTTATAAGCATGTGTTTTACTTACAAAAATATGAATTAAAGTTCAGATATCATTTTTGAACATGACTTTTTTGTTCACCTAGATATATATTGGGTCAATCGATATATGTTAGTATATATGTTATTCGATATTTCTAATGTAGGTAGAAATGTGAAATTAATTTTATAATTTAAGTTGACATCTCTAGGTACCAGAATCCAAGTTTCATCAAGATCGGATGAATAGTTTAAGAATAAGAATTTTTCAAAGTTTGTCGGTCGGAAGTATTTTGAAAAATTTACAACAAAATATTTGACTAAAAATGATCTCATTTTTAAAGTGAAAATATTTTTACAATAGACATGTTTGGAGTTATTATTTAGTTATTGGTTTTTACTATTGGTTATCCGACAACAGTTTAGAGCAGTTATCACAACATTATTTATAACGGGAATCAAATGCGAACCGACCGAACACAGGCCGCCAATCGGGTTGACTACTAATAATTAAGTGGCCACAGTTCAGGCACCGGTCAGAGTTAATCATTGAATATGATATGGATGTATACATTAGATATTGACGATATCGGAAGAGTAAGGGATTTCTGATATCTCTATTATTGTTAGAGCATGATCAATTTAATCACAATTTCAACCGTCGGTAATCACAAAAACAGACCCCTTCCTATAGGAATACATTATTCTGCCTGACTTTGTTTAAAAATTTCCAGTATAAAGACCAATCATCCAATCTTTATGAAACTTGGTTTCTTGTGCCTAGGAATGTTAACCTAAATTACAAAATTAATATTACATTTCTACCTACATTAGAAATATCGAAAGACTAACATATATCAGTTATGCCAATATTTGTTAACAACATAAGTATTTAATGTACGTTAAAAACTACGTAAGAGAATATTTTACTGATAACTAACCTCATGTGAAAATTACTATTAACTTTATTGGGAAATAGTATTTGTTTTACATTCCAGAAAGTATTGATTGCAATAATAACATGTTTATATAAATGAAAATAATTGTTAAATTATTTATTAGTAAATATTTATATGCAATAAATGTGAAGATAGAAAGTGTAAATTTTTACCCAGAATTAAATTACAAGTTATATTTGCCTAAATATTTCATTTATTCTTGTAATAAATTCACCTTAATTTTAATCCAATATCAATTACCATAATCTAAATAATGCAAACATTTAATAAAATTGTACAATACTTTTACACTATTTGCATAAATAATTGAATTATAAATAAATCATAATTATTTAAAAGTTATGAATAAAACGACTTATTCTTAATGAGAAAATTATAATTAATTATTAATTTAATATTAAAATTATTAATGATGTAATTGTTTTTAATGATTATTAAATAACACATTTCATTGCATTAATAGTTATTTTTATTTAAAATTAAAATTATCATTTAATAATAAATAAATGTTTTAAAATAATTTAATTAATTATATTTTGGGTAATAATTATATAATTACTATAAATTGTAATATTTTTATTAATATTATTTTTAAATATTTTATTTGTTATTGCTACATAATTGATAAGTGAAACCAATATGATTGCAATTCTCTGGCATAAAAGCATATTTAATTACCCTGGTGCTATCGGGGACAAAGTAGGTGATAAATCTATCCCAGTTGAAATCAGCATCAATTTGCTCCAACAAGTTGCATTTAGTCTATAAGTATAAAAACAATTCAATCATGCTCAATTTATAAATAAGTATACATGTTTATTTTTTAAAAATTGACAATAATTTTACCTTATAGTTTAACTTAAAGCAATCATGAATGTCCCACATTTGGCAACAGTAATAGAAAGTGTCCTTGCCACGTTCATATTTTAAGTTGCACACACCATCATTGAGTATTTTTTGAAAACAATTAGCATAATAATGGGTTCCATCATTGGTCACAAGCAAGTTATCATGATTGACAAGTGGGATTGGACTTGGTTTATTAGTTGTAAATGCAAATACCGTGTTATTTGGCATAGGGCAAATTATGCCGACACATATAATCAGTATAATGAGCTTAATTAAGTAAGTTTTAATCGCCATAATAAATCAGTTTTAAGTCAACTTACTTTTGGTGCTATAAATAATAACTACAATAAATATTTTTGAGTAGATATATTAAACTTAAATATGTTGTAATAAAATAATTTATGGTTGTTATTTAACTAATATAATATTCACCAATGTTACTGATAGAATTAACATAATTAACATTATACAATATTTTCTCTGTGCGCATTTGTGCAAGGATTAATATATTATTTCAAACAAAATTAGATGGTTTACTAAATGAACAATAAGTGATAATATTTATTTAGGATTATTAACTATTTGAATAGTAAATAAAATTAAATACAATAGATAATTATCTCTATAGTTTATTTTTGGAGAGAATATGTGTTTTTTGATTATTATAATATATGCTTTCAAAAGAATTATTTGGACAAAATTAAAATCTAAAGTGCAAATACGTTCCACGAAAGTGGTAGACACCAGAATCACAGGAAACACTTGTGTTTTAAGATGAGCTGAGCTAGGGGTCCTGACGGAAAGCTATGCCATATAATAAACAATCGCTACGATCAAATAAAGCATAAATGTTATATATGCTGTTATAATAATTATTTGGGTAATTTGAAAACCTAGAGTGCGAATACGTTCCACGAAAGTGGTAGACAATAGAATCATAGGAAACACTTGTGTTTTGAGGTGTGCTGACCTAGGGGTCCTGACGGAAAGCTATGCCATATAATAGACAATCGTTACGATCAAATAAAGCATAAATGTCATATATGCTGTTATAATAATTATTTGTGTAATTTGAAAATCTAAAATGCGAATACGTTTCACGAAAGTGGCAGACACCAGAATCATAGGATATATTTGTATCTGTGAACTGAGCTTAGCTTGGGGACCTGACGGAAAGCTATGCCATTTAATAGACACTTGTTACAAGCCAAAAAGGCATAAATGTTATATTGGCTGTTATGATAATTATTTGGGTAATTTGAAAATCTAAAGTGCGAATACGTTCCACGAAAGTGGTAGACACCAGAATCATAGAAAACACTTGTGTTTTGAGGTGTGCTGACCTAGGGGTCCTGACGGAAAGCTATGCCATATAATAGACAATCGTTACGATTAAATAAAGCATAAATGTCATATATGCTGTTATAATAATTATTTGTGTAATTTGAAAATCTAAAGTGCGAATACGTTTTACGAAATTGGTAGACACCAGAATCATAGGATATATTTGTATCTGTGAGGTGAGCTGAGCTAGGGGTTATGACGGAAAGCTATGCCATATAATAGACAATCGTTACAATCAAATAAAAACATTAAAGTTATATTGGTTGTTATAATAATTATTTGGATAATTTAAAAATCTAGAGTGCGAATCAGTTCCACGAAAGTGGTAGACACCAGAATCATAGGAAATACTTGTGTATTGAGGTGTGCTGAGGTTGGGGACCTGATGCAATTCTATGCCATATAATAGACAATTGCTACAATCAAATAATGCATAAAAGTTATATAAGCTGCTATAATAATTATTTGGGCAATTTGAAAATCTAGAGTTGGAATACCTTCCACTTGTATCAGTGAGGTGTGCTGCGGTTGGGGACCTGATGGAATTCTATGCCATATAATAGACAATTGCTACAATCAAGTAAAGCATTAAAGTTATATATGTTGTAATAATATTAATTTGATCAAATTGAAAGCCTAGAGTGCGGATACGTTCCACTAAAGTGGTAGACACCAGAATCGTAGGAAACACTTGTATCTATGAGGTGAGCTGAGCTTGGGGACTTGACGGAAAGCTGTGCTATATAATAAACAATCGCTACGACTCAATAAATCATAAATGTTGTATATGCTGTTATGATAATTATTTGGATAATTTGATAATCTAGAGTGCGAATACGTTCTACAAAAGTGGTAGACACCAGAATCAATAATTATTATTTTCAAATTTAAATAGTTTATACATATTTATAGATAAACCTAATTATTATTACAAGTCAATTACAGTATTGTACTTTATTTACTAGAGAAATTAACTTGAATTATAATATTTACTTTGCTAACATTATCAGATGTGCCAAATATTTATTAAAATCCAATATTGATTAAATTTAATGTAACATTGTGTCAAGTAAAATCAGTAATTCATAACCAGGTAACAATGCAATAAATGATTTTATCAAACTCATATTATCATATAATATCATATAACGAGAAACCCTTTAAAAAAATTAAAAAATTAATGTCACCAATGTTTTACTTTGCTAAATAAATTTTAATTTAACTAAATTTTATAATCTTTAATCTAGGTTTGGCCAACAATTTAATATTCAAAATATGCTTAATTATGCTTATATTAGATTGTTTCAATTTACAGTTTTATAGTTTTGAATCTCTCTCTCTCTCTCTCTCTCTCTCTCTCTCTCTTTCTTTTTTTCTTTCTCTCTCTCTCTCTCTTTCTCTCTCTCTCTTTCTTTCTTTCTCTCTC